TATGCCCTCGATGAATGCTAACGAAGACTGAAATGCTGCCATCCGACCCCTCTCCATGCAACAGGTCAACCTCCATACGTCCGAAGTAGGAAATCCGCATGACCACCAGTGTCACCCCTTTGAGTTCGTCCCGCGACAAAGTTTGGAGTGTACGGTAATCCTTTTCATGGTGGGGGTAGACACAGTCATGTATGTTCTGCCTCAGGAAGTGTTCTGTCTCTGTGATCCAAGCGGGCGGATCGCCCAGATGCGCTTGGGCAGCCACGCCCTCCTCCCAGAGTGTCCTGCGCAAGGTGCAGGCCCTTTGAACACATGTGTCCTGTTTGGCTTGCGGATGTGTGGCCAGTGCGATTCCAATGCCAACATGGAGGGGGAGACATTGCCTTTCTTCAAACTCCTGAGGGTTCCCTAGAGGGACACCGGTGTCGGCGGCTCTCAACTTGTCTTGAAAGTCTAGACATGCAATAGCACCAGCTTCGTGCAGTCTTCCAAACAATTTGAGGCTACCTCGGCCAACCTCCCCTTCCCAGACCAATGGTTCGAACTCCGCATCAGCTTTATGCCCAGCCTTTGGTGTGTGTTTCAACCCTTCGAGCTGGCGACACGCCTCCTCGGCGAGGGTCGGATGACCTTGTTCGGCGGCCTCCTCAAGAATGGTCGGCAGGTCGACGTCCTGCTGTGCATCCTCTGCTGCCATGAGCCTAGCGATGACATGGGATCGTAGATAGTCTGAGGGGTCTTTGAGAGCCTGCAGTACGCCACTGGCCTCCAGGGTTTTCCACCTTTGGATTCGTGATCTCTCTTCATCAGAGAGCGCTTCCTCATCCCTGGGATCGGAGCAGAGGGGTTCCCTTCTGGGGACTTCCAGCCAGCCCGGATCGGGCCCTTTCACAGCTTCTTCAAGATCCGCCTCAAGTTGGGTCAGCGGGACTCGGTAATCCTCTGGGACCTCCCAATCGGGCTCACCCGCCTTGTCTTCATCATCGCCGCCTCCTTCCGGTTCATGGCCAGCCTTAGCTTTGGATTTTGGTTTACCCTTTCCTTTGGCTTTTGGGGTTGGCTGCATTTTCTCGGCTTTTTCAGCCGCTGCCTGGGCTCTCAGTTGTGCGACCCTCCCATCGACTTCCTTGGGATCGATTTTGGGTCCCCCTTTCAAGCCGCCTCTCCTAATGACTTGCATGGCAACTGTATAGTCTAGCTTTCCAAGTCCTGGCAACGGCTCATGGGCGTGCTGACACTTGGAGCCTCGGCTACACCCCATGTGGGTCGCTGCATCCCAGCAGATTGGTTTTCCCGACTTTGAGTCCTTGGGTGCATGTTCAACTGACCGGGATGCCTCAGACTGGAGCAGTCTCTTCCCCGCCGGATAAGCGGACTTGTTTCCAGAAGGGAGGGCTCCCCCCGAAGTGGGCGGAACATCTTTGAGGACGAGCTTTGGTGCCTTCCCGGGTTTATCATCATCTCCCCCTTCGACTGACTCTGCACCTCCGGCAATTTTGCGGGTGTTCTTCAGGTTCTGATCATGAAGCTGCTTATGGAGGAGTCTTGACATCTGCCTCTGTTGCCTAGGAATGACCACTGTCTGGTAGTAACCGGCTGGGTCGGCCAAGTCCCAAATCCTGGGGAATTGAAAGTTGGCTTGACCGTCCGCTCCTGGGGCAAGGGCAAGCAATTTGAGGTCTTCCAGCCTGGGATTCTCCGTTCCGCAAATTGAGCACAGCTTCCTACGACTTTCTCGCAAGTCCTCCCCCCAGGCCGCCACCAATTCCTCGTAGAGTTCGATGCAGTAAGCGGCTGGGAAGGCATGTTCATCTTCTTCATGGGCTTCTTTGAGGGCGGTAAGGCATTCCATCCTTTCTGCGACATGCTCGGTTCCGTAACATGATCCGAAGACCCTGATGGAATTTTCGGCATACCGGAGCCAGGTGTTGAAAACCCCAGGTGGTTTCACTCGACCCTCAATTTTGTTGTCGCTGGGGGGGTGCCAGTTGTCCAGCTGCTCGGAGCGAGCTGTAACGCAATCACTGGCGTGTACCGTGTATGGCTCCACTCCTCCCCACCAGAAACCTGCAATGCCCAGCATGAGACGATTTGTCATAAGGACTGGCCATTTGATAAGATGCAACATGTGACGAGAATGCATAGCGATGCGTTTGCAGGCATGGTAAAGTTCCTTGCCATAGACCCCGGGGGCTATCTCCACCGTCAGGGTCCCGCATCCTCTGGCGAGGAAAACATCCATCTTTTCGGCTTCCCGAACTGAGGTCAGCGATCCTTTTGTGAGGTTCTTCTCTTCGTCCTGTGCTTTACGCAAGCCATCAATGGCATGGATAATCCTATCAGCGTTCTGAACTTGGGTGGCTTCTCCTAGACTCTCCCCGAAGGTAGCTCCTGCTCTTTCTTCCCCAAACTGGTGGCCTCCCACCGCCGGCTTTACCAAGCCTTTGGTCGTCACTTTGAACGGCCCTTCCAACCCTGGTGGGGTACGTGATGGGGCCGGAGCAGCAGGTCGAATGGCACTTTCTAGTGGCTTCTTTGGGATCCCGAACTGCTGCATGAGGGTGGTCGGATCGACCTCGAAAGCAGTGGCTACCGTTTGCACTGTTTCAGCGCTCAAATCTCCTGGTGAGTGTGCTAACAATGTGTCTCGTGCTGCATTGAGACGCGCTCCGGTATCCACTTCATCATCAACTGGGAAAGGGGGAATGTCAGGTAAATCTTCTCCTGTACCATCTTCTACAGCTGTCGGTCTCGGAGGTGTCATGAACTCCTTCTTCTTGTGTTGATGTGTGACAACATAAGCTTCAGCATGAGGGAGAACCTCCTGTTGAAGATGACTGCAAATCCATGTCTTGCCTGATTGGAACGAGGGAGACTCGCCATCAGTCACCTGGCCGTCCCATGCTTGGAGCAAGAGAGCTTGCTCTTCAGTGACCTGACTACACAGGAATGAAATCCCTTTCCCGACGGACTCTTCATGGGAGGCTTGAAGGAAGTCATCAATCCATTCCCTACAAATCCGTCCGTGTCCATCATCCCTGGGGGGGGGCGCAACTGCGAGAGGTGGACCACCCCTTGAACTTTGAGGGCAGGGATGTCAATTTCAACCTTCTCCTGAGCTCGGCTAGATGTAGCGACTCCAGTAACCCGCCCCAAAAACGCGACCCATCTTGGCGGACTTTCCCCCTTCTGGAGGGACTTGAATCTGATTAGTGAGATACATGGGCCTTGAAGAAGCCTGCCTTCCGCTTGATGCTGGAACTGAGATTGGGGCCCTGCTGAGGAAGCGCGTGCCTTGGGCTGGCTAGTGGCAGCTCTACGCTTGGGGCGGCCACTGCGGGCTTGAGGAGAGACCCCCCGTTGATCCTCAAAGTGACCTTCAACTCCTGAGGATGGTTCTTCTGCTTCTGGATTGCTCCCGTCGCTCTCCCAGGTAACCTTGCGTTTGCTGCGCACCGAGCTACCAACATCCATCAGGTGATGCTTGCATAGGGGGACCCCTTGTTTGGCTCCATCGTGTGATTCATAACATGAGAGCACGCTGCACTTGCGTCCGGAACATGCTGCCACATACAACTGTCGGTGGTGATCACACAAGCGGACCGCTTGCCTGCCCTTGACATCGGAAAGACCCTTGTCACATTCAAGGAGTCGGACCGACTCCCCAGCTGCTTGATCCCGACATGGTTCATTGGCTAAGGCTCGCGGCTTGCCACCATACCATGGGTCAATCCAACTAGGACGGCCTCGCAAGGATCTTCCAGGACCTCAGCTTCAGATTCCGACTCAGGGTCAAGGGGACGGAGACCTCCATGATCCTGGATGGTACGGGCTGGTTGAGGGGTATCCATCAGATATCGAAGGAGCGTCCACCCAGAGAGTACCCCGACCATCTTCCAGACGGATCGTCCGACACTTCTGAAACATCTGGTAAAGAGCACCATCAGTCGCCTGGTGGACCACCCGGCGTACGCTCCCAAATCTACCACGCTGTTGGCATCCACCACTGCGTAGGTTTTGCAGTGTATACCCGGTGTAGGGTGGTTCTCAAGGCTACACTGCATTTCCCGGCAAAGGTGGACTTTACTCTCTCCTTCCAAAACCTGCCTCAGATTTCGATGGGAAACACCTCGAACTTCTCTCAGCCGAACCCAAAGCCCATTCCGATCAACGCGTGCCCAGTGGTCGCAATCGGGTTTGACCCTCGCTGCCTGGCCATTGAGCAGAAGCACCACATCGTTGGGCTTTCTCTCAGTCCCTCGACCCTTGACTCCTTTTTGTAGGAAGTCATTATCAACACTTTCCCTGGAGCCGGGGCCTCGGATGGCTAAGGATTCGTAAGTGTGGGTTGCCTGCAACTCAGGCAGAAGATCACTTACCTCCCGTGCAACAGCTTGAGTATGACGGGTGCAGCAATCAAAGAGTAGCCGGATCGGCCAGAAGACCCAAGTCAACGCATAGATTACCCCAATGGTCAAAACTGTAATCAGCGCTAGTAGGGTTCCCCAGGCAATCCATGGCCAAAATTCTCCGCAGGTAGCGAGTCCAAATCGATCAAGAAAGTAAAGTCCCCAGCCCCCGGAGGAGCTAAGACTTCCCTTCTGTTGTGGGGTGCTAAACCATGCTGGTCCCATCCAGGACCTGATGTCAAAATGGAAAACTGAGTGACCCCACACATGAGCGAAAGTGTTCGCATCTCCTGCGTGAGGAGCGGAACGCTCACCTTCCTCAGGGGCCATCCTGGGAGGGGCGGTCTCTCCGCCTCATCCGAGGAGTTGGAAGAAAACCACCAGACCCAATCAGCCGGGGGGCCTTGAACAAGCTCCAGGGTCAATGAGAGGCCCAGCACCGATAGCCATGGCCCACCCAACATTGTGACACGTGTCCTATTCAAAGCAGTCCCTAGGCTGCAATCACTTGAGCCAGTGAAAGCAGCAACCCAAGCTAACCCTACGTTCTGGCGAACACACGATTCATCCTGCTCAGCACCCCGGGAAGGCCTCTGGAGGTGCGAAGAGGATATCCAAGAAGTCCTTCACACCTCACAAGTTACTTCACCAAGTCAACCGCAACAAAGTTCTTCGTGCTCATTGTCAATTGCGGTTGCTGCGCAATTCTTTGTTGGCCTTTTGGGAATACTCTTGACAACAGAATCTCAACTGTTTGTAAATGGTGAAAAAAGCAGGACAGCAGAAGCCTTCCTTGATCAAACACGATTGCTGCAGATTGCCCTGCCATGCCAAGTTGCAAATCCACGAATCTTCTGAGTACTCCTCACGAAGGGGTCTCAGCGTTATCTCTTTTCAGAAACCCAGGTCTTCTACTTGTAATTTGTGGAATAAAAAAGCAAACTCCATGCTTGACAGCGGTGCATATCCCCTTTTCATTTACTTCAACTGGCCGAAGCGCTTGGAACCACCCCTTGGAGCCGCTGAGAAGGACCTTATCCTCCGCCCCTCTGCAAAGTTTGGATGCCTAGAAGTCATGTCCCCCATCATCCGCCGGTCTTTTCTCAGCTTGTCGCTCCTTCAGAAGGGTATTGGCCTCCTGGAAGGTCAGGCCCAAGGACTGAAGCACGTCAACACAGCCTCAGGCGACACGTGCCAGGCAGCACCAGCGGCGCGCGAACGAATCAGAACCCTTCGACAGGAACCGGTTTTCAATTGCGCGGTCCACTCTGCGACTCATGCGACCCAGAACCATAACCTCGGTCGCGAATCCGTCGCTCCAAGGGACTCCGTCGCTCCAAACGCCCAGACTCGCCCAGCTTGGACTGGAACATCGCCTCCACGGAACTCCTCGACTCCTTGGCACGGCAGGGATGGGCCAACGTCGGTTTTCTACCCGAAGAGACCATAGATGTGTGGCCCGGGGAAAGGATCCACGAACACGAAAGATCCGGTATTTGTCCAATGGAGCGTGGTACCGAGCAAAAAGTTAGAAACATAACAAAGCAAGTCGAAGGTCTCCTGCATCAAGAACAAGAAACACACCATAAGTCATAAGCAATCGCGGGCTATGACAGTCTTCTGCAAGTGATTGGAAATCCCTGGCCTCCTCCGGCTTGGTTTTGTCCAAGTGGCATTCATGCTTTCCCGACAGCTTCCGGCACCTGTGGCTGGCAAAGTAGAAGTGCACAAGCACCAAATGGCGTTCAAGACTGGCACAGCTTTGCAAGTCGTGAGCCTGGAAGTATCCTTAAGTCAACTACATGTTACACAGTTACACAATGCACTCGGAGGGGATGGCATGTTATACATGGACCTGTCAGGTGCAGGCATAGACCTCGAAGGAAGCCAATAGATCCTATTCACCGTCAAGGGGTCCTGAGTTCACCCGTGGAATGGTGCTTGTCGGCAGATCACCCGCGGAGCTTCGCTGGTAGAGAGGCAGCAGCCTTACCCCCTTGAAGTGGTTGTGAGTCGAAATTGCAGGCCTTTTGACATCGGGAGAAATACGCAACGTGGAATTGGAAGTCATTGACATTGAACTTTGCCCATCCGTGCACCAGATCCAAGCACTTTTGGGGTGTGCGAGAACCTTACTCAAAGACAAAGATAGAGAAAAGTCACAGGAACATCAAGCTGCACAGCCGCATCCCAAGCCACAGAGTGTCACACATCTGTGTAAGAGACCGGTCCCTAACCCCATGCGGGAGGATTTTCATGCTGTCAACTGGTCCAGAACATCCCAGAAACGCATTCTCCTGATTTGGCTTTCGGAAACCAAACAGAGATCTCCTTCAACACTGCCGGCTTGCACCAGCTAGATAACGTGGCAACATGTGGACCTGGCCGTGGCTCAAAACTGCTCTTGGATTAATGACTGCAGATTCGCCGGAGAAACGGCCCGATTCGCAACCTCGTACTTTAGGACTTCCCGATTCTGGGCGTCCACACTCTTCATGCGTGCTCGCCGGCTCGCCGGGACAGAGCGAGCAAAGCGATTGCCGCAACCGCCGATGTGAAGTACAGTACAATGTGTGACCCAGGGAATCTTAGCCTTGTGAACAGGTGGGCTGCCTTTTGCATGACTGAGGGAAGTCCCTATATAATGACACCAGCGGACCTCAAAAGGACTGATCCATGTGATCTTGGGACGCCGGCTCTGGAACTATCAGGTTCCTGTGAATCGGTGATTCTTGGAAGTGGGAGATTGATCCTGTCTTTCTGAGGGATGTCCCCCGCGCACCACCGGGATTCGTATGGGTTTGTGTTGCTGAGTGTAGGATGTATATAAAAGAATTTTAAGATCGTCATCTCCAAATCCATATCATCGATTGAGCCCAAGACCTACAGGGCACCTGTCTAAAAGGTCCAAGACCCAATATCATGCTGAACCAACGGAATTCAACTGACCTGAAGGCTTGTATCGCCTTCCGACCAACCAGTGTTGGGCCTGCCAAAGGGTAAGGTGCCTTTAGAAGGAATCTCTCTGCAAGTTCGCGTCCCCCAAAAAGTATGTAGGCAATGTAGTGTATACTGTATACTCGTAGAAAGCAAACACCAAACACCTGATTGTAGTCCCTACGCGAGGTACGCAGTCCATGACTGTGGCCTATGAGTGTATTGCCTTGGCTGCCGGTGGCTACTGCAACTGCATCTCGAGCAAAGCTGCTTATGCTGCGGCATGCATCTAAGCAATACAACATCATTCCACGTCTACAAGCTGTGTCTACCTTCGTCTTCTTGGGAGAACTACCGCATAGATCTCACTCCAGGCTAGTGTGAAGTTGTCAGCAAATATTGATGTGCCACTGCCCTGGACTTCGTCGACCAAGCGTGTCCGAACAAACAGTTCTCCCCTCCGTCCGATCGCGTCCTTTTTGTAACACCAAACGGGAGTCTTGCTTTGGCTGCACTCATTGCCTCAAGCAGCTCCAGTGTGGGTTCAAAGGGATCCAAGGAACATCTTCTCGGCAAGTCCAGGTGAGCTAAGAGAAACCAGTGCTGGTGACATGGGAAAGTGGTCCTGCAGGTACCTTTGGTGTTGGCAACAAATTTGGGGGCTTGCCTTTTCAGAAACAGTCTACTACCTCTCGCGCGATCCTCTCATGTAGGATGCCCATCAATGAGTTGACCCCCTGCTTTTGGGGTTGGTTCGTAGCGTCACTCTCTGGCATTGGTTCCTGGAAACGTCAGATTGACATGTGTCAGTGGGTTGTGTCTCAGTGCCAGTCCCCAACCAATCGAAACGTGCAGGATCTTTGAATTACTGCTGATCTCCCTTTCCTCCATTGACCTGTACAGACTTTCTCCACTTGGCTGTGGGTCAAAACCAGGACACCTTGCTTCACCTACCTGGAAGGTCAAGCTACAGTCATAGTGTTCAGGCTCCAGGTTTTGATCCATCTTCACTTCATGGCACGGCGTCCCTGCCGCGGGAAAAAGCACCGTTACGCTCACGCAGCACCGAGGCGCTGAACACGGAAGTTGAGCTTGTGAAAGTGGATGCGCTCGCGCCAGCCATCCATGGTCAACGCCTACCGTAAAAGGCACTCGACCGGGAATGAACGAACCTGATAGAAACTGATATCATGTGACTACACCAATCGCAACTGTTTTGAGCTTGAGGCATTTTTTGGCCCAGCTTGCCTTGGTCTTTTGGCTGTCGTGTCATTAAGTGCAGTGCACTGTGCCAAAACATACAGTTTCTGTAATCCAGTGGCAAGCATTGAGAGCCTCACTGGCGCAGTGACAACAACTGAAAGACCGAACCAGGCGGATGTTAGAATGGTCAAGCTGCGACAGGGCAGCATGATGCGACCTGACATGCCATATCATTGAAGAAAAAAATCAGTGACCTATTACAGTTATTTACAAGTACAAGGAATTCTAGCTGGCTAGTAGCTGGCAGCTTGCTCAACTTGTTTATCCTCACAAATTCCAACATGTTTGGCTGACATCATTCAGGATGGAGCTATTGTATGCAAAGCTCCAATAAACTGAAGCATTCCATCGGATAGATCCACATATAGAATCCAGGTCCACAGAGCTCAAGACAATGCCCGCCAAGCTGGCCACATTAATTGCGAATCTGCCGCCAAAGCAAGAGAATAAAAAACCCTGCAACGTGCAATGCCTGCAAAAACATACCCTCAGCCCAAGACCAAAGGTCACGGTCACTCTGCGTTACACCCAATGCCGGCCGCACATAAGGCTTGTGGTGAAACCGGAAGACTACAAATTACCAAAATCACTATTGCTGTTATCGCACCGCAAGGACCGCAGTTGGCCAGAGCTATCCAGCAACGGAGGAGAAGATACATCAGAAAGGTCATAAGCACTAAAAGGCCTACTTGAATGAAAGTATCCAGGAATGATTCTATGGGCCAGCCGCAATGCCACAGGATCAGGAAACAGGCACCTGAACACAGAGCTGTGATTGAAGTATTCAACAGTATCAGGCCACCATCGCGATGGACACGGTTTGCGGTTCCTGCCAGCATCACCACAGTCAAGTCCCACATCAAGCTGAGAGATGGAAGCAGCAGCAAGACAGAAGTGCTTGGGAATACAACCCACAAAAAAGTCAAAATGGTTGCCCCAAGCACCGCAAAAAGGCCGGAGTTTGTGCGCAGGGCATAAACGAAGGCGAAACACACTTCTACCGCGATCCAGGAAAGCGCAAAGCAACAGGTGAGCACAGGCATCCTTAATTGTGACAGCCGTGAGAACACTGCGATGAAGACAACCTCCATAAACAGCATTACAGGTCCAGCGACAAGTGCACCGATGTTCCAAGGGAGTCGGGTTCCGTCCACGTCATACTGCACGTATAAGAGATGTATGAGGTAGAGCTGACAGTTGTTGAAGAGCAGGTCGTAACGTGACCCGATCATTGGATTCTCCTCCGCAGCTTTTCTGAGTGCCGAAAGCGATGTCCTTAACGAGATCGGCCCATCTGTGTCCAGGATCTCATACCCAAAGTCATCCAAGTACTTCAGCAAAAGTCGTTCGGCCAATCTGCGGCTGCAGGAGGGATCCACTTGCCACAAAATGTCCAATGCTTCTCGGAAACACTTTCTGCACTCCTCTCCAGACTGCACAGTGTCTACTAAGTGCCCAAAGAAATGTTCGATCCTTTCTCTTTGCTTGTTGCTCAGATCCGGCCAGTGTAGGTAACTGGATTCTAGTGCTCTTTCGATGGTGTTCTTCAGGTTCTTATGTGGCTCTCCCGAATGGATGGCTCGCTCAAAGGCTTCCTTTGTTGCCTGGAAGTCAACTTGTGGCCAAAGGAAGTCGGCTGCTCCGGCCATCTTTGAGGCAGAATCCTCTTGCAACCCAGCAAAGTGTCCAAAAGTCAAGAGGAGAACCTTTGCCATGCATTTGACATCAGTCTCTGATATCGTTGGCCAAATGCAGTCCATCTCTGTTTGAAACTCCTGCTTTGGGTCATCTGTCGAAAGCACCGCATCAATGAAAAAGAGGAACTCTCTTGTTTCAGCGCTTCCACTTGGCCAAATCCGGTTCATAGTTTCTCGAACTTGTTGGCGAACCCTGACGGAGTTATGATCGCCTTCCTCCTTCACGTCGGCCACCAAAAGCTTCATGCTGTAATTGTTTGAGACCCAACGTGCTCCACTGGTTCGGTCGACTGCCGACAACTCCACAGACCATATCATTCCATCATCAAAAATCCAAAGGCTTGCCCAGTGGGACGTGATGTGTGGGCGTCGGCCAACAATAACCACTTGGGCCTTCCGTGTGTCTGAAGGCAGATCGTCTGAGTCTATGTTAATTGCATTCATCTGCTCCAGGCGCGAATAGCCACGGTGGCTCGTCGGGGATTGTCCCGATACGCCCATGGGATAGCATATGAAGGACATTTGTGAAAAATCGCCACCGGTTTCGCCATGAAAGTTGCCCAAGCTGGACAACTCCAAAGGCCTTCTAAGCGTTCAGTCTTTTGTAAAGTTGTCTGTTCAAGGGAACATGGCATCCATGGCTGGGTAGTGGAGATATTTTTCAAACACTCCCAACAATTTGTCAGGAGTAAGTTGTTTCATGTCTGACTCCAAATAGGATAAACTGCTCACAATTCATGGAACCTAAATGCTCATGGCTGACATGTTTCGTGTGCCTTGCTCACATGGTATCAACTCTCCCAGGCTTTCTCGTTTCACGAATCTCTGGAATGGGTCAGTAAAAGAAATCATCGACATGTCTGCGGTGCTCCGTTCAAAGGCATGACTTGGACTGAACTACAAATTACACCACCATAGACCCCAAACAGCTGGGAAAACAAGGAAACATTCCCAAGTCCACTTTTTGAGACATCAACAAGAAAGGAGACAAGAAGAGAACGGAGACAAGAAGGGAGACAGAAGGGAAACAAAACGGACACAGTGACCAACAAGAAGGGAGACAAAACAGAAGACAAAGGGAAGCAAAAGGGAGACAAGGTGGACACAATGACCAACAAGAAGGGGGATAAGAAGGGAGACAAAAGGAACAGAAGGGAGACAAGGCAGACACAATGACCCACAAGAAGGGAGACAAGACTGGAGACAAAGGGAGACAAGAAGGAAGACAAGA